ATACAAAGGTGCAAGGGGAAAAAAGGTTACAAGGAATTTACCTTATGCCGTTGGCCTCGTAAGGCTTTTTGCGGATGTTGCCCAATATAAAGGTACAGACAAGAAAACCAACACCCACAAACAGCCAAGAGCGAAATGGCAGTTTGTATAGTCGCGGACTTCATGTAAAAGAGCCCGTGCTTTCTAATGCAGTCGTCAACTACCAGCGCCCTTACAGTGTAGAATCCACTCAAAGGAATAGAGGATGTGAACTTTGCGTCAGTGGTATCACTCGTGTTGAAACGTTTCCTCGCTTACCAGTCCTGCTTTCATTGAATTTGAGCGCCACTGCAGTGACTGATAATGATTTGAAAGGTCTTACTGCAAGTCGAACTCTGTTAAGAATTTTTCTCGACGATTGCAAATTTTTGACTAGTGTATCTGCATTGTCTTCCATTCCAACACTTGAAGAGGTTCATCTACGTGGATGCTTGGGGATAACGAGTGTCGGTGATCTCAGCACTCTTCCTCGCCTACGCATACTAGATGTTAGTAAAACTTCTGTGACGAACAATGGCTTGGAGGATCTTTCTGCAAATTCCACCCTGGTGAGAATCTTTCTTGAGGACTGCAGAAACTTGACTTCTGTCGGTTTTCTGAAAGCTATAGCCTCACTTGAAGAAATACATCTTCGTGGATCTTACCAGGTGAAGAACATTGGTAGTCTTGGATTGCTTGCGGAGTTACGCACGCTTGATGCAAGCAAGACCTCTGTAGCATATACTGACTTGATGGGGCTTGGTGCCAGTCATAATCTGGAGAAAGTTCTTCTTGAGGAATGCAGAATCCTGGCAGACATAAATACACTAACTTTTATTCAAGCACTAAAGGGTGTCTTTCTTTCTGGATGTATTCGATTGACGAACGTTGGCGGTTTTGGCTCAATTCCTGTGCTACATTCGCTTGATGTAAGTGGAACGTCTGTTACAAGTGATGGTTTGCATGGTTTAGCGGAGAGTCGTAGTTTGGTTTATATTTCCCTTGCAAATTGTGTTTGCTTGACAAGTGTATATGAATTGTCTTGTATTCCATCACTGGAGGAGATTCAACTTGGAGGATCTGTCACGCTGACAAGTGTAGGCTCCCTGGGCTCACTTCCAGGGCTTCGTTTGCTCAATGTGAGTAAGACTTCTCTGAGAGACGATGGTTTGCAGGGTTTATGTAGAAGTCCTAGCCTTGTCAAGATTATACTTGAGGATTGTGTTTGTTTGACAAATGTATGTGAGTTGTCTTCCATTCCAACGCTGGAGGAAATTCAACTTGGGGGATGCATCCGTGTTACTGACGTTGGTGATTTGGGTTTGCTTCCTGTACTGCGCTCACTTGATGTTAGCAAAACGGCTGTGACCGATGCTGGTCTAAAAGGTTTGGGTGAGACGCGCAGCTTGACGAAACTTGTCCTTGAGGAGTGTGGAAATCTAAAAAGTGTACGCACAGTTTCCACCATTAAGACAATGGAAGAAATTTACCTTCGTGGGTGCATCCGGATAACTGCTGTAGGTCTCCTGGGTGGACTTCCCGCGTTGCGACTTCTCGATGTAAGCAGGACTTCTGTAACAGATGATGGTCTGAACGGCCTTGGTGTGAGTCGTAGCTTGATGTATATTAATCTTGAAGATTGCAAAAGCCTTACCTCTGTGGCCTCTCTCACCTCCATTCAGACGATTACAGAGATGAACCTTTGTGGTTGTACGAGGGTAACAAATGTTCTTACATTTCCAGTCATATCCAACAAAGCTCGCTCAAGATGATTTGTTTATGTTATGTGGGGGTCAAGAATGTTTTCTTAGTTTCTTTTTCTCTGCATTTGTGCGAAACTGCCCATTGAGGTGCGTCCATTTGTCGTCGTTGAGTGCTGTACAAATAAGTTGAAGTAGCGGATTTTTTGCCTTGGCTTTATGAGGCGCAATGTAATGCCACACCCCGACCCAAGGGTCCATACACTTCTTGTATTTACTATGGGGCAAAGCACAAGTGTAATTGGGAGCTCTGCTTATATATATCGGATTATATTTTCCTTTGATTTCATCGGTGCTTCTGTCTTTTTTTCCCCTTTCACTGCCTCGTTTTCTTTTTCCTATTGTTACACACAGGGTCTGGGGTCATCGTTCTGTGTGTGGCTTTCTGATGCCCATGCGCGGAGTGCCAAAGAAAGTGGGTGGGTCAGCCATTACTTCTGGAGAAGGTCACCCCCATCGCCTTACAGTATCCGAGTTCCAGGGCGGCATCGACAACACAATGCCCCGGAGAGCACCTTCCCAGAATATCAACATGTGGAGCACCAACGCTCCCACTACACTGCTGGGACCAAAGCGTTTGGAACGTTGAATAAATAAACCTTCTGGACGCTCCTTCAGTGAGGGTGTGTGATTATATTGGATTAAAGGACGGAGCTTCCCACCACCACCACCACCACCATCATAGGCATAGGGCTCCAGGGAGGATGAATCAAGTTTCATGAGCTGCGGCTCATACCACCTCTCGCACGCTGCAGTGTCTGATTTTGTGTCTATGTCATTTTTCATTTGCATATTCGGGTACGATGGGGGCATCATTTTGGAACATCATGTGGTCTGAAGTTGCTCTAACTAACTAAACCGCACAAATCATGCTATGTGGTGTGCGTTGGTGTGTGCATGCGTGTGGAAGGTAGGGGGAGGGGACCATCCTCACTTCGAATGCAGGTCTGGGCTACTTTGGGGGGAGTTACATCTGTTTGTATTTGAATGCAAGCCCATTTATTTTGTCTTTTTCTCACTTGTGTTTTTTTTTTGTTTGCTTTGGTGGCAGCCATTCGAACACCGAGTTTTGTGATTTAAGCCACCCTGGGCAGACGCACCCTTGAACCAAGGAAGATAAGGGAGATCTCAAAGTAATTGAAAGAGTGAAAAACCAACATCAAAAATTACCGTATTATTTCCAGACAAAAGGTGCTTCTGACCCATCAAAGAGGGGTCTCTCTGTTATTTTGACCAATTCAAAGACTTGGCTTTTCTCGCAAGAGAACTTTACAAATGAAAAAAAATCTTCTTTAACGAATGCTTACTCGATCAAAATACATGCCATGCCGGTGTTTATTATTATTATTATTATTGTTTTGTTTAAAAGGTGCGTGTGGGGTGGTTTCTAATGGCGAGGGTAGTAATAGACTTGAGATCGAAGGAATGCTACGAAGAGGGGCATCTTGAAGAGGCCTTTAGTTTTCCATGGGAAAGCATAAGAGATGAATCATGCGGATTGCCACCGCGGGAAGTGCTGCTCACTGCGATTATTGATGAACAAGTGAATCAAGAAAGTGCTGAAGCATACCTAGGGCGGTTCCGCTTCGCATCCCTTGAGGTCAGAAAATTAGACGCGAAAGAAAAGCTTGTGCGTGAAAAACCGAAAGGCACCTGTTGGTCTCCAAATCCATTTCTTTCGGACATCATGCCGTTAATTGAGGCAGGCGGTGGGGGCGCCACTCTTGCAGTTGACGTTGGATCAGGAACTGGGAGAGACATGGTTTTCTTGGCATCTCGTGGGTGGAATGTCGTGGGCATCGAGAATCGCCGGCGGCTGATTGATCAAGGAATTGCCCTCAGTCGGAAGCATGGCGTAACAGGACGCACGCTCTACATTTACTGCAACTTGAAAGAGCACTATCCTGTCAAACCTGGAAGCGTTGATCTTTTACACGTGTGCCGTTTCTTGCATCGGCGGTCGCTCTCGAAACTTTTGGAACTCCCACGTCGTGGAGGACACCTGATATATAGTCATTTTTTGGACGGGTGCCAAAAAACGGATGTGGGACATCCTTCTTCCATTGCTGGATTTTTTCTCCGCGGAGAGCTGCGCCAGCTGCTGGCGAGCGCTGGCTACGCCATTGTTATCGAACAGGAGACCCTTTTGCCGGACAATAGGCCATTTTTAAATATTCTTGCCAGAAAAGAATGAAGACCAGGCGCCCACACCACCCTTCTGCCCCCGGGGGGGGNGGGGGGGGGGGGAATCAAGGAGGCGTCGTGTTAATTTGAAACCGGAATGGTCTGTGCCTTACTTTCGCTAAAGGGACAAAGAAGGGAAGAGTAAAATATTGCCGTTTTCAACGCATGTTTTGTTTCGTTCTTCTACAAAGAAGGGAAAGCCCTCCACCAGGAGAAAAGGAATCGAATATTTTCCTTTAGAGTTCATTTAAAATTTACGAAAAGGAAGAGCCGAAAGCATCCTTTATCACAAGCCTCCGCACGGGGGGCGGAGAGGGTTTTGTTGGGCGGGCTTTCTCGGACATACGCGGCGCGCCGCGGGCCGCAATTAACACAGTAAACGGAATAAAGGCACATTATTGCATCAGCACCGCAATGGCTCAAGGTGCCGAACCGTGCCCGCCGCAAGCTGCAAAGAAAAGAGGACAAAGCCAGTTCTGCCCCTCGTGAGGGGTGGGGAGGGGGGAACAAAACACCGCAGCGCAGGCAATCCCCCGGCGTTTCCGTTTTTACTGACGGCCTGCGGCGGGAACGGTTCGGCAGATTGAAGAGGCGCGACAACAACACAGCACTGCACCTTTGAACTGTTTATGGTTTTTAATGACGGCCCGCGGAAAATTGGGAACGTCTTCAAAGAAGGCCCAAGAGGAGGGTTCATACATGTGTTGGAAGCCGCGCGGCGCGGGGAGGCAGGCTGCCGCGCCGCCATCCACAGCTCGGGCGGAACAAAATGGACCCACCGCGTTCCCTTCTGGCATAGGCCCACCGGCGCCCCCCTGATTGGCAATGTAAAATGCGCGGGGCCCTCGCCATGGAGAACGGCGCGCGGGCCGAAGCAAGGCGTTTGTCCGGGAAGCCCTGCGCCAGAGCCCAAAGCCCCCTTCGCAATGCCGTGTGGCCCGGGGTTTCTTCGGGCTCTGGGGAAGGCGCGCCCGGCGCTGACCGCCTAACGGGCGGCGTTGGCAGCCCAGAAGTCTTACCCAACGCGCCGGTGCCAGGACGCGCGGCCCCGGCAGGGGGGAACATTTCAAATAAAAAAAGGCGCCGAAACGCAATTCCAGGAGGTGCGGGGCCAGTCGCCCGGGGGCGCCCTCGCAGAATTTTTGCAGCACGCCCGCCGCAGGCCAGTGGGCGGATGCCGCCCCGGCCGGGGTTTGGGGCAGCGTGCTGTACGAAAGGTGTGGCCGAGATGGTCGTCCTGGTGCGGGGTCCGGGGCGGGAAGAATAGGAAATGGGTGGCCGGCGGGGGGCGACCCCGAACATACGAGGGCGCCGCGGCCTGCCCCCCGAGCGCCTCGTCAGGACAATTTTTGGCCGCGTCCCCGGCCACTTTCCCACCGCCAGGCGCGCAGAGGCGATCTTACACGGATGCCCGGGACTGTTTTAAACCGAGGGCATGCGGCGCGCTGGGGGGAGGGCCTTCGATGAGGGGTGGCCCCGTCGCGCAGGCGGTTCCAAAAGCCAAGGCGAAGTCCGCCCTAACGCACACACCGGGCAAAGCACAGCGCTGTCGATGCGAGGGGCCGGGTCACCAGAGCGGCACCTGTCAGACGAGTTTGGCGAAACCCTCTGCAAGGGGGAAGAGGCGAGCGCCGGTCCTGGAAGAAACGGGTTCCAGGGCCGTCGGGTTGTGCGGATCCTTGTTTCCTTGCGGGTGTGGGTGCGGCGTTTTTCCGCCAAAGCGGGGCGGGCGAAAACGCCGAGGNCCGTCGGGTTGTGCGGGTCTTTGTTTCCTTGCGGGTGTGGGTGCGGCGTTTTTCCGCCAAAGCGGGGCGGGCGAAAACGCCGAGGCATAACCCCTTTTTTGGCGGCCCGGGCCCGTAAAAAGAAGAGCGCGCACCCATGCTGCGCAAGAGCCGCCTCCAATAGGCGAACGGCGCCGCCACCATTCCCACCACGCGCCGCAACCCGTGGCCCTCGCGCCGGGAGAAAGCGCGAATGCAATGAGCTTTCGGAACCCGCAAAAGCACGGAAACAAAAGGGGCCCGTCATGCGCCACCTTTGCGGGTTTGCGGCGGCGCGCGCCATGGGGATTCGGAAAACAACCGCCGCCTTATTCATTGTGACCCTTCGGCTGGCCAAGGGCAGCGCGATCCAATAAACAATAACGTTGGCGAGCCTGTGGGAAGCATGGCGAACGCCGGGGCAAATGTTTCTTGCCGGCCGCCGGAAGACCGCGGCCGGCGATCCAACAAAACAGGCACGACCCATGTTGAGCTTGGGGCCCGGCATGGCCAGCGGCGCTATGGCNCCGCCGGAAGACCGCGGCCGGCGATCCAACAAAACAGGCACGACCCATGTTGAGCTTGGGGCCCGGCATGGCCAGCGGCGCTATGGCGCACGAGCGGGACCACGCCGCCCCAAGGCCAGTTTCGGCGGCCGCCAGTCGCAGAGGCAAAGCCGGGCCTCTCCAGAATGGAAATTTTTTGGACCACCCAAGAAACAAAAGGGCTCTAATCGTCGATTGGGTGGGGTGCCCCTCCCCAAAACGCAAAAGAACGACCCGCACAAAGCGCCATGGCAGGCGCTTATGGGAGGGTGGTGGCTCTAAAAGGTTTTATGTGGTGCTAAAGGGCATGGGCGGCAACGAAAAACTGACGGAAACCACACTTCCAGCGGAATGGAAAACGCCCTTCGCCCATACGGAATTACCGCCCACCCCATCAAAAGAGGAGCGCCGGAGCACGCAGCAGCGGCCGTGGTGGAATGCGGCTTGTGCCCCCGCTTGCTGGTGCAGTTGGGGAATCGCACCGGCCCTCCCAAGCCCCCCTCGGGGCACAGCGCGTTATCTAGGCCGTTGGGCCGCGACCTTCAGCAAGCCCACGGGTTCAGCGTCGTGGGTGTGACGCGCCCGGGGGTGGGGAGTGGGCCTACCAGCTCCGGAGCAGAAACGGACACAAAGCCATTCCGCGACCAAAGCGTTTTGCGACGCACACGCAGAGCAAGGGCAGCCACACGTGAAGTGGAAGGGGGTTTGCCGTTGCAGAAGGTGGGCGTGGGCGCGGTATCCTTTCCTTTGGCCATATGCAGGCCCAATGCCGAGGCATGTCGGCGTTTTGTCAGGAGGATATNGCAGAAGGTGGGCGTGGGCGCGGTATCCTTTCCTTTGGCCATATGCAGGCCCAATGCCGAGGCATGTCGGCGTTTTGTCAGGAGGATATGGCCATGCGCATCCCAGCAAGCTCACGAGTCCAATTTGCACACTTCAGAACAAAGCGAAAAGCTCATAAAAAAGACCAGTGCCATCTGCACGGCTTCGGCACGTCGCGCCGCAGGATGGATGGTGCCGCTCGCAGTGGCAGAAGGCCAACCGACAGGCCAGCGGCGGCCTTTTATCGCCTGGCCAAAGGAAACGGACACCAAAAACGGTTACAAAGTAGAGGTTCCCCTGGGGCATATTTCCCCGTATCTGAGTGCGGTGTCCTGGAAAACCGCAACCTTCCAACCAAAAAGCGTGGCTATTTCGCCAAAAACGCAGCACAAATACAGGAAAATATACCATAAGGGGGCCTTCGCCTTCCAGTGGATTTCCCGCGCCGCTTCCGGGTTAAGGAAAGGGTATAGGATGAGGGCGGGGAAAAATCATCCGTGACAGGATTCGAACCTGCAACCCTCTGATCCGTAGTCAGATGCTCTTCCATTGAGCCACACGGACACGCGAGGACTTCACGCGGAAGGGTATCAAAAAGAAAAAAACCAAAATACCACAAAAAACCCTCATGAAAAGTTTTTTTAAAAAAAAGATTGCTCATGTTCGGCGGATGCGCCTTCATGGCGAATGGGGGGTAAAGGCAAGCCACGAAATCGCCCTATGCGCGCTCGGGGGCCAAAGCTTGGTTTAAAAAACGGGGGCGGAAATGGGCCGCCGCAAGCTACCAGCGGCCCCCCTGGCGGAGCCATTGGCCAATGTCCGCTCCCAACGCACGTGTTCCGCAGTTCTCGGACCGCCCCCCGCCCCCACCTGGGGTTGGGCCGTCCGCGCTTCCCACTTTTAGCCCCACCGTCAAAATGCGCCATACGGCATTTTGCCCGGGGCTCGTGTGGGCGCCTCGTCGTTTCCGGGCGCCGTGTGGAAGGGCGGCTTTCCAACCCAAGTGTTTCCAGCCGTGCCTGGCCCTCTCGCGGGCGCGCCGCCAATTCCCAGTATTGAATTGCCGAACCCCTTTTTGGCCGAGCCACGCCTTCATCTGATTTAGTGTGGGCCCGGATCTGGCCATTTCGGCTTCAAAATTGTCCGTTATGATGCTCCATCTGGTTCATTTGCCTCGCGCGATCTTTCACCCCTGGAGATGAGGCTCGCGTTTCCTGACGGATCTTCAAATATTCTTCGACTGTTTGTGCTCCTGCCCTCTCGCCCTGCTGGCGCGGCATGGATTTACGTTCTTCGGGGGGCTGTTCCATTTTGTCCGAAAAATCGCTCGTGCCCCTTCAAAGGCCTAAAGAAAAACCCCATTCCCAGACACAGTGAAAGCCACCATGGGGTATCACAAAGTGGCGAAAATCACCTTATTGTTCTTCTCCAGATGCAAAAAAGATCTACATTTTCAATAGCCAGAGCTTCCGCTGAGACAAGTCACACTGCGTAAACTAAAGCGTTGGGTCTGTAGTCAACTGGAAAAGGTGTCCGAGCGCAATTTTCGACGAAAGTTCTGAGAGCTGCTAGGCTTGTCGTCTATTCTATTCCCAAGAGGGGTTTCAGAATCTACACTTTGCTAAACTCTCTTTGCTTGGAAGGTGCGGAAAGAATACGAGGATCATGGCGGATTTATGGTTTTTCTTTTCGCATTAACCTCAATAAGGCTTGGCCATTCCTTTTACAGGCTGCCCCCGCCCCCCGAATGGACCCAGCCTAGCTTTCCTCTAACGGAGAAAATTTAGAAAAAAAAAAGAAAGGAAAAAACTGTATTTTCTTTTTTTCCTTCGATCCGCAATGGTTTTTCCCCCAGGCTTTCACACCCAAACAAGAATTCCCCAAAAAAGCCCATGACATCCAGCTGTGGGAGATAAAATCATCATCATCTGATATCCAATCTCATGATGTTTTTTTTGATTCCTTTAGCTCAACCGAAAGTTTGGCTTTTCCCTTTTTGATTTCGGCATCAATGGCGGCAATTCTCTCGTTTAGAGGTGGGTGGGTGTATTTTAGAGCTGCATATAGAGAATCTGGGGTGAGGTCGGCCTTGTTTTCCATTTGTGTAATGATAAGGGCCTTCCGCAGTGAAGGGCCAAACCCGGACTCCACAGCGAATCGGTCGGCCTGAAACTCGAGACGACGCGACAAAAGTGACACGCCATAACTCAGAAGCTGAACGAGCGGCTCTACAACTACAGATAGGAAAATCTCGAAACCAATAAATGGGTTCACATCGGTAAAACCAAATTCCTTATAGATCCCATTATTGAATATGACGTACCTGGCACCAAACGAAATGCAGAACATCTGGACAATACCAATAGAGAGCAAAAGTATCGTGTGATTATTCTTCCAGTGCCCCAATTCATGACAAAGCAAAGACAACACGAGATCATCATCACCTTCCATCTGTTTGATCAATGTGTCATATAAAACAATTCGTTTGTTAGACCCAAATCCGTAAAAATACGCATTGCTATGACCCGATCTTCGCGAACCATCAACCTGGTAAAGTTTCTTCAGTGGAAACTTGTGACTCTTTGCAAGACTAAGAATCTTACCGTACAAAGTGGAATCTTCTGGAATTGCGGTGTACGTATTGAAGAGGGGTTGTATCAGAGTAGGATATATGAATGTAAAGGAAAATGCGATCGCTGTTGACCCCAAAAACAAGTACAATGGGAAACGCTTGCCAAACCGCTGCACCACCTGAAGAATCAGACCCGTCAAGATGGGGTGCATCAAGAAGACGCGAAGGCAAATCATCTTCACTTCATCCATTAAAAACTCTTTGCGGGTCATCTTATTGAACCCATGCTTCTCTTCAACAACAAACTGGTGGTAATAATCAAAGGGAAGGCTTATCAACGTTGAAACAACGTCTACCACAATAGAATAGGCACAGCAATGTGCAAAAGAGCCCACTTCTACTGGGGTGCACCGCGCAATCCATTTGTACACTCGTGATGGTAGTTTCGTCAGAATGCTCACGTTACTGAAGAGGATGTCCTTTATGTCTCTGCAAATAGCGAATACCCTCTTGTCCCTTCCGTAAGCCTGGATATTACGAAATTCCTCTTCCTTCAACTTGCCACTGAGTGCTGGTGGCATTTCATTGGAGAAGTACGACCTCCATTGTCGGTACTGGAGGTAAAGTTCCCCTATACCCACCGCATTCACACCAATCAAGGCAGATTCATAAAAAGAAACGCGTTTGTAATGCATCATCTAGACTGTTTTATGCTTAAATATTAGAAAGAATCCAGAGGAAACACAGCGTGATGTATAACTTACAAATTGCACCACAAACATATTATAGAGAAGCATCACCCTCCATACATGAAAAAATATATATATATCAAAACATACACCGATAGAAAGAGACACACAAGTGACTAAATAAATAAACACATACACACAGATATGCACGGATGTATTTGCCTATTTATCTTTATTCAGATTAAACGGAATATTCTTTGGTAAAAAAAAAAACCTAACTAATTCCTGTAAACGCTACCACAGTTCCCATCATAGCACCGACGAGGCCGAGAGTTAGCATGAGATACGCCATACATAGCTCGGATGGCGAAGCTTTACAAACACCCAGTGCATGCAGTCGAAGGCGGAAAGCTGCAGGATACGTAAAGCATATTGTGCCACTGCAAAGACCTCCCAACAAAGCAATAATGTAAAGGATTCCTGGTGCCCCCAAAGCTAATAAAATACTCAGAAGGGAGAGCAGTGAGCTTGCAATCAGATTGTCCTTTGTGGATATGGCGTTATGAAAATTGTCATGGGTTGCACTATTGAATCCATACAACAGAATAAACACAGCGTCTCGACAAGGAAACAAGACAAGGACATAAGCTGTTGTAACCGTGACAGAGTACATGGCTTCACCTACAGCAAATACTCTATCTTTAATTGGATTGTAGTTTGTCAATATGTTTCCATGAACATTAGGGGTGTTGGACAAATAACCAAAGAGACCAACAATACCGTATACAATTCCAGTAATAATAATACTAAGTGTTGCTACTGTCGCCATGCCTTTTCGAGTCCTTTCGCTGATACTGGCGTAAACTTGAAACACCAATGTCTGGCAATCAAAAGAGAACATCAAGATTGGTAACGCCAATACAGTGCGACTTGATAACGAAATGTACTTTATTTCTCTTTCATTGTGCGTTGCTCGCGGATCCAATGGAAAAATATACCTATACGCAATAACGCCCGATACGACAAACGTTGCGGTAATCGCCAAGACGGACACAAAACGCAGAGATGACATCTGCGGAATACATGATAAAGGGAGCATGATGAACGCCCAAACGGCAATCATAATTCGTGTAGGAGTCGAAAGCAATGGAATTTGCTCACTGATTATCGGCAATAAAGGTGCAAAGATCTCCCCAATAACAACAATGTACCCCGCTGCCACACCAATGTTGTACACAATAAGCATCCAGCGAACAACTTCCTCAAAAGAACGTCCCAACAACGCCCCTGAAATCTCCTCGTATGATCGAAGCTGCAGTTGCTCGACGCATAGTATGAGATAATCAATTGAAAGGATAGTGATCGCACCAACTAATACCATGAACAGAGCGAAAAGTAAGATCCCGCAGACATCAAGGGCTGAAGGTAATGCGAGAATCCCTGCGCCAATCGTTGTTACAGATAGACTCAATGCAGCCCCCAATGGGCCTTTTCGTCCAAGTAGACTCGCCATTTTTTTCTTTTTAAAAATATCTTTTTGTCGTTTCTTCGCCCTTCCCTCCCTCCCTATTTTTTGTACAACAAAAACAACAACAACCGCAAGAACAACATAAAAGGCAGCAACAAGAAAAGAAAGCGCACATTCATGTAAACCAAAATAATAATAGTATTAATATTAATAATAATAATAACAATAAACAATAATACAGAAATACATAAAACAAAGTTAACAACCAAGAGAAGCGGTATGCACATAACACATTATGTGCAAGTATATATATGTATGCTCTCCCCTTCACACACCCGCTGGAGTTTCCTATTCGACCAATTTCGCCTCACTCGCAGCCTTTTTCCACTCGTGTGTGGATCTTCTCCGAACGCTGAGATCCATGCTTCACAACTGGGATTGTTTTACATTTTTTCCCCTTGCACTATTGTTTTGTTTCAGTTTTGCATCGTCTTCTTTGCTGCACTATGTAGATTACATAAACTCCCTCATTTTCTTTGTCATCTTCGCCACTTGCGGTGATGTGTCTGGATGGGAGTCCACTCGCCACCCCTGAAAAGTTGCGAACAAATCGGCCCCGTGCTTCACCAAGGCCTCAACAAGAGAGGTATCTTCAAGCGCCATGAATATAGGCGGGCGACCGTCACTCTGTCGGGGCGCATTGGGATCGGCACCGCACTCCAATAAACATAAAGCGGATTTCACCATCTCTTTAGAGCAGGTGTACTGAAGCGGTGTCATGCCGCATTTAATTTTCCGTGAGACATCAATGTGACCGTCCTTAATAAGACGTTTGATCGTGTTGACATCTTCAGCATCAAGTGCGGCTTCCATTTCCTCTTCAGCCAGCGTTAATGGGGATTCATCAGCCGATTTGTTTAATTCCACTGCGCGATGAAACCACATACCAGATAGTCTGTCATCCTCATCCAAGTCTGTTTCACTGTCACTGTCGCGGCCCTCTGCGCGCCGTCTTTCACGCTTTAATTGTTCAATTTCTCGGGGTTTGGTATCAGCTGGAAGCTTGAGAGACCACTTTGCATTATTCTCGTCGAGTTTCCTCGCAACGATGGAGTTTTTGAGGAGGAGAGGGGGAAATAGGGCCTCTGCGTCTGCCTCAATATCAAAGGACTTTGTGACAGAAAATAAACACCGAAAAAACTCCCGCCGAGGATATTTCTTCGGTTCCGGCCTCAGCAGAAAGACCATACGCGCTATATCTCGGAAGCTTTGCTGATCGACTTCGTCAGAGTGTGCAATATACACCCAGTCGCCATTTTTAGTACCAACATCGATGTAGTCCATAGCATTCTGAACGTTTTTCATAACCGCGAGATCAAAGTACCAAACCGCAGATTGCGTTTCCTTGGCGATCTTGCAGAGAGAAAGAAATGGATCGCCGTCCTCCAAAAAGAATATGGCGGGTGTGCGGCAGTCAGCGTTCTTCATTGCCCGACGAACATGTTCCAGTGGAACGTAATCTTCGGGAACCTCCACCACACCGCCTTGAACCATCTGATAAATCTGATAGCCCCTTCCTTGCACACCCCCCAACATACACACCGAGGAATGGAAATAAAAAGAAAGAGAGAGAGGCAGAGAAGAAAGAAACACACAACCATAGAGCCAGAGTGATAAACCTTTACAAAGACAAAAAATAGGAGCATTAATGCCAATAAATAAGACGAAGAATTTCGCCATAAAAAATGCAAAAAAAAAAACACCCACTGCGATTGCAATGCCTATTAAAAACGTTCTCGGTTCACAATATAAATCCCAAACAGTCGCTCAGCACGTTTTACAATGAGGGAGACAATGTGAGAGATTTGGCCCTAAGCGCCTTAATATCTTTCGCACCACAAGCAAACATAGCGACAACAAACTCCCTTTTAAGTCTTTGAATGACCTCGCGGACCTTGTCGGGGCTTTCTAAAGCAGCTTTAAGAAACGGCATGGCTGCAGTGGTGCATTCGGCGCCCATCATCAAGGCTTTGGCAATATCCAGACCATTACGAATACCACCACCGGCGATGAGATGCAGATCCTCTCCTCTTGTGAGGGGAGCGCATTCACGCAGGCATTCATCCGTCGTAATGCCGACATCACGGAAAATGAAACCCAGGTTTTCCTTCTCAACAGCATAGTCTTGTCGTCTCCCCTCTATCCAGGCCCATGAGGTGCCACCACAACCGGAAATATCAATGTATTTCACACCAGCTTTCCACAGAGCAACCACACTCTCACGCTCAATTCCGTGACCAACACCCTTCACAATGACAGGAACCTTAATATGTGGAAGAAGCGTCTCCAACTTGACCAGTAATGATTCAAAATTTGTGTCACCCTCAGGCTGGCAGGCCTCTTGTGTGTGATTGAGATGAATGAAGAGGCCGTCAGCGTTAACGCAGCTTATCAATCTGTTTACCTCCTTCGCACCGAATCCGTAATTCAGCTGCACTAGCCCTATATTGGCAAACATAGGGACAGAGGGACAGAATTTTTTCACGTCAAAGGTATGAACGGCTGTAGTGTACCTGTTGACAATTCGCATGCTTCCAAGTCCAAATGGTATACCTTCCGCTTCACAGGCTTTGGCCAGGTTTTCATTGATAATGCGACCATGCTCCTCACCACCAGTCATTGATGATACAATGAAGGGGAAGGACAGGGTCCATCCCATGAATTTACATCGCGTGTCTATCTTGAGCATATTGATTTCCGGCAATGCGGTGTAGGGAATTCTGTACTTGTCCCAGATGAATGGACCGTTCTTATACGGCTCAACATTCTTCTTCAGACAGATATCGATATGGTCCTTCTTGCGCTTTTGCACGGCGGCCTCTTTATCGGTTAAACTCTCGCGGCTCATCATTAACCTCTTCTTTTACAAGACAAAAAAAAAAACAAGACAAAGAGAGATGAAAATTGTTACGTGATACTAGACGTAATTTTTTGACCACATATCTAGTGAAACACCTTTCTACCCCAAGCGACGATGTAGAATGTACTTATTTTCACATTCTTTTTTGTCCAGCGGTTTCAGTTTCTTTTTCGTTGTTCTTCTTCTTCTTCCGTTTATTCGGCGTTATGCAGACGTGCATCGCGTCTCGTCCCAAGGTAGGCGATATACTCGTCAACGCACTTGAACAACGCAGCAGCGTCAACTAAAGTGATTTTCTCATCCATACGTCTCTCTCCTCCCTGCTCGTGGTGGTGCTTTGCCATGTCGCGGTCGATATCCTCCTTGAATGAAAAACGCTCGGGCACAGAAAACTTGATCATTTCGAAGAACTTTTTGACAGCCTCTTCGGCTTCCACACAAGAGCCGTCCAACCAAAAGATCCCTTTCTCCTCCTTACCGCCGTGCTCAGGCTCCATGACTGGTGTAAAACCAAGACAAGCCATGATGAAACGTATCGACACCATGCCCCGCAAACACAAGAGTAACTCTCTCAACCACTTTAGTCGGCACTTTTGCAGATATATTTTTACCAACAAGTGCATTCCGCGCGGAAGGACCATAAGTGAGCGGCAGATTGTGAAGCAATCACCATCCTCACACGCCGTACAGAGCTTTAGTGTCCACCGCACATCACTTTTTTTAACTCGTTGAGTAGCATGCTTTGGCGCCTTGGTACCCTTTGCATTGGTATTTGTGTAAGTGATTAGCTCCGTTGCCAGCGCATCGTACTGCCCACCAAGACAAAGATAAGCAAGACGATAACAAAAGAAGTCCGACATCGATTGCCTTGTAGTATCGGTTAGCCCCTCATACAACTTTTTCAAGGAAGACTGGCATTGATTGAATTCTCCAATATCACCCAGTTCTAAACAAATGAGCGCATGCCTCTCGTAAACTTCAACGGCAAACTCATCTAGAATGTTCTGAACGCGAAGATCCTGTCTTATTCCTTTCAATTGTTCATTCAAATATCGCAAAGACGCAAGGGTACCTTCTTGCATTTCTTTAACCTTAGCCTTGGAAAAAACAAAGACAAATGCCTTCTCAAGAACCTCGCGTGGGCGAATATCTTCAGCTGTTGGCTCGTACCTGGAATACATCCTTTCCATCTCTTGCGACTTCCCAACGAATGCTTGTGTCGATGGTAACATGGAATTGCAAGATACCAAATCTCGGAAAAAGAGGCGCGTGTGTGTAGCTTCTTCTGACGATGAGACCACTGATGAACCTTCTCGTTGCTGATTGGGTTCTATTCGCCGCGCCTTGTGTGGCTTCTCCTCTTCTTGAGGGGCTCTGGGGAGTTTCACACCCCATTGATGCCCATGCACGACTTCCGTTGGTTTAAGACCCACTACCGGTCTTGCGGGAGGTATGCTTGGTTGCTTACAAAGGTGTTGCTGAGTATTCACAGCCTGTTCACGGTATACACGCTGAAGCTGCTGAGCCGCCTGAATCATCTCCATGAAGGTCAATGTATCATAGCTTCTCCTACCAGCACTAACTTCTGTATCAATAATGTTAAACGCCTGAACAACAAACGACCGAAGCTCCGTTGGTGCACGCCTCATGCTCTCTGTGAACAAGACTGCGCGGTGATCTACAGATGAAAGTTCGACAGAACGGCCACATTGATCTCTGTCGTTACTATTTTGGAGAAACGCAGGTTCTCTGTCTTCTGCACTAGCCGGCATCACAGGGGAGACGTGAGCCCAATCCTTTCCCTCGATCCCGCCCGGCGCGCGCAGGGCGTCTTCCACGACTCCGATAGCCCACCTCTCATACCTGCGCCGGTCAGCCTCACACGTTCTGGTTTTGGAGAGATACGACGCCCGGCTCAACCAGTCTCGGAGAGGCTTTGTCATTGACACACCATGTGAGGCGAGAAATTCGGGAGAAAGATACGACACCGCCTTTGTCATATTTCATACTTCCGTTTAAGAGATGGGGATTAAAAAAAGAAAAGAAAAGAAAAAGAAACAGACGCACAATAACAAGAACAGAAGAAATAATGATAATAATAACAATCCAAGAAATAAAATAAATCCGCAAGCAAACCGTAGATTAGACTATGTTGTGGCATGATAGTCTCATCCAAACCACTTACCAAGAGAGGCAAGCTACCAACACCACAACATGTTTTTCCTCACCTCTTCCCTCGCAACACAGCAGATGTGAAGAAATCTACTCATTAGACGTTTTTAACATTATCTGTAAAACATCTTCATCCTCCAGTGTATGTCCGATACCTACTCGCTGCGGCTGATGCTTGGCACTCGTACCCCACACCAAAGCGTACTTAAATCTCGACGCGATGTCTTTATGTATCCTCTTGCATATGTGCTCCACAGTCGAGTTTCGCTTCACCACATATGGCTTTACGAAATCTGGCTGGTTACCATGCTTTTTCGTGTAGATACGGATTATATTGAGGTGCTCCCAAATTTCTTCAATGACTTCATCCACATTAAGGTCCCAGTGAAGTGACAACACAACAGAATGCGGTAGCCGACTCAATCGATCCATTTCCTCCATTGTAATTGTATCAATTTTATTGTAGACGTATAGACAAGGCATGTACCTTCGATTACCTTCAATCACATCAATAAACTGATCAATGGTGATGTCTTCGCGAATAATGACGTCGGCATTGTGAATTCCATAATCCTTCAAAATCTCCTTCGCCAAAGATTCTGACATTCCCATTGTTAGCTTGACAGTGGAGGTGAAACTGATCGCATTCATGCTACAAGATGCTTTCTTTTTATACGTCACATCTGGAAATCTTTGATTAAGGCGAATACCAACCGTTTCAAGCTCCGCCTCGATTTTGCTCCTCTGCGCCTCTGCCCTGGCGGCATCTAACATCAAAATGATCATATCGGCTGTTCGTGCAGTTGCGATAACTTGCCTGCCGCGACCTTTCCCTTCCGCTGCCCCTTCAATGATACCAGGCAGGTCTAAGATCTGTATCTCCGTACCCTTGTGCATGAGCTTCCCCGGAATACATGTCAGTGTGGTAAACTCGTAGCCCGCCGCCTCACTCGCCGTCGCTGTCACGCGGGAGAGAAACGATGATTTTCCGACGGAGGGGAAACCTACGAGGGCACAACGTACATCACCGCTCTTCCGCACCTCAAACCCGTCGCCGCCACGGGCCCCGGCAGCCCTCGCGGCGTTTTCCATCATCTCCGTCTTGATGCGCGCCAGCTGCCCCTTGAGGCGGCCGATGTGGTACTCTGTCTTTTTGTTCTTCTGCGTTTTGGCGATCTCCTCCTCGATCGCCTTTCGGCGTTCGAGTAGCCCCATCTCTCTCTGTCTTTTTTGTTCCTTTCTTTGCTTTCCCCCCCTTTCCTGACTCACATATAAAAAAAGAAGGCAAGCATACCGCTGCTCACGCCCAGCACCGGCGATCAGCAGACCAACGGAGATAACCCAGTCTCCCTCCAGACGCATACACACACACAGACATCTGCAGAACGAAACCTCCAGCTGTCCACCCGGCAACAAATTGGCACATACCGCATCCGATGTAGCACACACACACACACACACACAAGGCAAGAACCTGAATATGGGCCTCTCTCCATTTTTACTTTTTCTTCTGCAATTTTAACTGTGTTCGATTTCCCCCATCACCCACAGGGCGGGCCGGTCGTTTGGTCGCGCAAAACAACGGCTGGACGCGGCGCATCTGCAGTGTTTGCAGTTTCAGCCTTCGCGGCCGGAACGCCCATGAAGCACTGCATCGGAGTAAACTTGTACCTTCTCGCCTCTCGGGCAATCACTTCATTTTTCATCAGTGAAGGAATCCAGTTTTCATCAATAATCGTCTTGATCTCTTGGGCCGTATTCACAGTCACTCTCTTACGCCTGATGGGCGACCATGTCATGTACGGGATGTGCTTCGTGCTCGTTGACTTTTTTCGATGGTCCTCGAGGAGTGCAAAGAGTATCAGGGTGAAGTATCGCAGGCCCTCTTCTTTCTCCACAACCCCACTGCCAGCTCTGCAGCCTGCCCTTGGTACCGCGAGGGTAATGCCAGTCAGACACGCCTTGCCGTCTGACCACGGCTGTGTGCCGTGAGAGTCACAGATGTACAGACTCCACGCCTCTCTGTAGCGCGTACTGGGCTGGTTCCGCACGTCGTGCGCCAGAGAGAAAATGGACACAGTGTAGTCCCCAGAGGCAATCACATAGCCACACACGGGTCGAACGTCATCAGAGTCCCTACCGCGCTTGATGGGACCACACAGGTGATCTATGAGTTCCTTCGCTCTCTCCTGCTGATTGTAAAAGAGTACTTCGAACTCACCCTCGTTTATCTGACTAGGGAAGAACTCGCGCAGCCGAAGACAAGCATTGAGATCCCCAATTGTTGGTCGTGCCTTTTTCTGCGGCCATGCAGGGGCGGAGAGTTGGTGCAACCAGGCGGAAATGTACAAGAAATAATTGACCGTAGACATGTTGCTGCACTCTTGCATCGTCACTGCAAAGCCGAGTGAGGAGAGGATGATAGCGGCAACAGTAGAAAATGTCTGGCAGCAGTCATGGGTCTGTGGTGGCATTAGACTCTTCGTTCTCCCTTCGCGTGCATCAAACTGAGAATATGAACCTCGAATGCATACAATCGTGTTCTCAACGAAGTATTCGTACCGTCCACACCGAAGAGTGCACATATCACTTAAACTCACCTCGGTCAACCTGCCCTTTATCCTGTGAAGACGTTGTTCTTCACGAAAGAGTCTGCGCTGGGCCTTGTCATTCTCCGTTGTTTCGCGGTTGACATTGGTGTTCTCGCTACCATTGATACTTCGACCGTCATCCGAGCTGATGTGCTGTTCCTCTAAAAGTGAGGAGGTTGACACCGTTGAGCTGTCTTCAGCACTCATCACATGTTTCTGTGAGATTAGTAGACATAAAAACGTATATATATATATATGTATACAGAACGTGCACAACGAAAAAACAATAAACACAAAGAAGAGAGAGAGGAGAATGTGAAACAAGCAACAAAAGACATAAGGGAGAGAAGGGAGCCAAAACAATTGTTACAGTTTGTCTTTTTTTATCCTTCCTACACCGTTTTTTTTTACTTTTTGGAGATAGTCTTCTGAATGCGATCCACCAGACTTATGCTGGTGTCACCGGCGCCGTCAATAGCAATAGCGACCGGACAGTTCCAGTCCGGCTTTCCTTTAACAAAGACTTCTTGATTAAAGCGAATGACACCCTCTTCCTTGTCCCAATGAATGTCAGGGTAAATCCGGGCGAGCTTTGTGAGTGTGTCAAGCGCAGCAATCGGTGTATTTTTGTCATCTGTTTGTAGTAGAGCAGCTCGCTTGTCTCGAGCGACACGCAATTGCGAACTTGCGTGCTTGAAGAGGGAGCGGTCGCGCCCAGCTTGCATGGAAGGGAGACGAGCCTTCACGTCAAGTTGTGGCGGTAGTTTATCCCCTTCTGCATCATTAACGACAGCAATATCCTTGATATAACACGTGCGGATTATCTTGACGTTTGGGCTGCCATCTGAAAGACCTTGGATAAGGACCAATAGCTCCTCCGCAGGGTTGTAGGTGAAGACGGTACCTTTGACTGCCGTGCCATCGACCAGCGAGAGTACCACATGTGCACCAACGGCTTGTATCTCGGTGACGGAGCTCGGCATGATCTTTCGGGCTCGACCTACTGAAGGAATACTTGGTTCTCACTCTAGTTGCTTCAATAATCTTTATCAAGGACAAAGTGCCCAAAAGTGAGAACAAATAAACGAGGCGAACCCCCCAAACCCCCAAAAGAAAGAAAGAAAGAACCAAGACAGAAATCAAAGAGGCAAACAATTCACAAGACTGGAATCATGGGGGAGGTGTTGTATATGTGAAGAGATAGAGAGGCTAACACTCAAGCACACACAAAGACACCACAAACACTCCTCTTAGTATGCTTTTCCTGACACACCGTTCCTTCTGATAATGTGAATGTATGCATATGAATGAAAAGACACCACCATTTTTCATTCAAATGTAAAGAAAAAATCCCACTCTTTTTTCATTCCTTGATTAGGCATGAAAGATGTAGTGCATTCCCCGCTTGGCGTACACAAAGACATTCTTCGACTTGGCGTAGTTGAGAATCTCTCGTCCAGGGACGGACGATGAACCAATGAAGAGATGTGTGCGCTTCGACAAGAGCTGGGAGTACATTTGTTTCAGTTGTCGGTGACGATCGCCCTCCGGTGGCTCTTTCGACCACTCCTTGAGAAATTGAAACGTACCTGCCAAGTTATTGATATGGGCCGGCGACAGGGAGTTGTGACAGCTCACCAGACCGGAGTCGTTCGGGGCACTCATAATGCCATCAAACCAAATAGTGGGAGGAACTTTGTCTTGGTTCTTTGAATTAAATTGATTCCGAACCTCCATGTCCGCCGCGCGGAAGACGAATTTGTAGTCTATAGGATCCACACGATGATCCATCGTAAACGGTGAGCCGGCACTACAGCAAATGGCTCTCATCGTGCTATAGCTGGCATTATTCTTCGCTCGACGCGGTAACAACTGGTAAAGGTTGTCGTCTCTGTGAACCCCCACGAGGTCTGACCACCCATCAAGAAGTATCGGCTGCCCCACGGGGTGCTGTGGGGGGATGGTGCCGTACTGACGCATCACGGCCTGCTGCTCAGGCGTGATGGCCTCAAACACAAGCGACTTGGCTTCATATGCGTCAAAAACACGGTTATGAAGTTTCTGCTGTGTCACGTTGCCAGACATGTCGCGAAGCCGTACCACCAGGGTCTGAAGCGTCGTATTCAAGAGCGACATCCCGCCCTCTGTCCCCACCCTCCCCTAGCAACTACACGGCAATAAGAAAGGGCAAGATGGGAGAGGAAAAGAAAAGAAAGGATGACTAAAAAAAAATAACAAACAACAACAACAACAACAACATCAACAAAATAAACGGAAGCATATCTTTCGCTCTCCCCCTCCGTGTAAGTGTGTGGGATGTATATGTGCGTGTCAGAGCAAAACGAGGAAAAAAAGGTACCGATGATCACATCATCAAAGAAGATGACCAGAGGCTTGCTGCACTGCAGCAGGACTTACCAGCGCAATAATCCTAGAAGAAAGGACACAAAGAGCCACACGAAAGCTACACATGCAGTAACTTCGCCTGTTTCCCAGTTGTAATGGCGATCCACTGCTCATGCTGTGAAGACCATGAAATATTGTTGATGGGGTGATCACCTCTGTAGTTCATGATGCATTTTGGCGCAACGTTGGGCAACTCGCCAAGGTCCCAGATGCAAGCTGTGCCGTCCTCTCCACCGCTGCAGAGATTTATCACGGAGTTCGGAGCCCAGCAGACGCTGTTGAACGGCTGCGTGCGACTATTACGCAGAACTCCAAGTGGAACCGCGGGGAATCGGATGTCTATTACAATTACCTCTGTCCCCTCCACACCAAACGTATAGAGATAAGTCTGGTCCACCTTGTCCCACGCAACCCGAAGCAGCGGGGACAAGGAACTTGACTCGTACAGGATCGTGCAATGCTCAATTTCACGCAGGTCAAACACACGTACGGAGCCATCTGCGCCGCAGCTCGCGAAGGTGTGCGTGCCTTTCGCAAACGCAATGTCATAGACGTCCTTGTCGTGGGCGATAAGCCGTGTATTCTTTCCGGTTTCGATTTCCCAAATAGTCACTGTTGTGTCGACACTACAGCAGCCTAGTATGTTAGGGTCGTCGCTGTTCCAGTCACAGGAGGTTACAGGGAAGCAGAATTCATTGGGCTGTTTCCCACTGTCAAAGACGGTCTTAAACACAACGTGTGAGTCGATATGATCGCTTTTCGACGGCACTCTACGCGGATCATCAACCTCGCGGCGTTTCTCATCGCTGCTCTTCTCCGGTGGTCCCTCCTTCACTTCCCAAAGACGCAGGTAGTCCGCTGTCGTGATGATAAGATCCGTCGCGGCTTTCTGCGGGGCGAACATCACCTTTGTTGGCGGGTAGCAGTGCTCCCATGTTGCTCTACAAACTAAATTTCCCTCTTCATTCTTTTGCACAATATCAACGTGATTTTTATACTCTTGTATGTATGACGAAACTGCAAAGCGAAATGGCGCGTTTTCACGAGTGCTCCACGATAGACCATTCGCCACCCACCCTGTAGAGTACGACAATACACTTGGGCGCTGCTGTTGCTCTTGTTGTTGTTGCTCCTCTTCCTGTTCCTGCTGCTGCTGCTGCTGTTCTTGCATCGTCTAAATATCCTTTTCACTTCTATCTGGAAGAACCACTATGTGAATAAACAAGAAAAACGTCAGAAACAGAATGAGCATACATTTTGTTTGCTTTAGTACAAATGCTTCTGCTCCCGCCAGAAAACAGCACGCCACAAAAGCGTGTCTCACCAATCACCAAACCACAATGCACTGCTGATTGCCATTAAACTACATTCTAGTAATGAGGGTAAGTACCTCCTTCATTTATTGTTCCTCATTGAGCCGTTTTTTAAGTGCCTCCACTTCCGCTTTGAGTGATGCATTTTCCTGCTGAAGCGCCTCGTAGTCTGCGGCAGAGGCTCCGCCAAGCACTTTCTTTATAAAGTCCACCGGATCCTCCGGCTTCTCTGGTTCTTCGTACAGGTTGACCAGTACACGGGTCAGTGTGTCGATCACCTGCTTCCGCTCAAGGTACTTACGGAACTCTTCCTTCTTGGCCTCACTGGACTGGTAGGACATGCTTCTCTTTCTCTGTGTGTGACCGTATGTCTTCCTGATCTTGCTTGAGTTCTCTTCTCAAATCCCACTACCACCACGACAAGAGCAAACAAAAAACAACAGCAGCGAAAAGACTCCAAATAAATCATCATTGGATGGATATCTTCACCAGTCACACCTGTAAGGCGAAGAACTACAAAGAAAAACAATAACAAACAAAACACACGAAAAGTACAGAAACACATTCACAGTGTTTTCGAAAAATGGGCACTCTTGTTTCACACCACCTCTGTTGGCTGTTACTGGGCCGCCTCACACACACACACACACACACACACACACACCAAAGAAAAGACTTGCAACATGCACTTCTTTTTTGTCGATGCAACTCCTAATCTTTCTTCTGCGCCTTCTTCCACGCCGGTACCCCAACGCGTGATCGCTCATCAAACCGAATAAGCGCCTTTGGCGTCGCAGTCCACATGCGCGACAGCACCACGAGTATAGCAAGGATGTGTGCAACGGCAATGAGGCCGACGAAGCACCACACGTAGTTCAACTCGAGACTCATCCGTGGGAGACTGCCTTGAAGGGGTGATGAGGCACAAAAGAAGAAGGGCACAACTGGTGAAATAAGCTCTAGCCCAAAGGAAGATGCAAACGCATGAAGGCGATAGCGACGACAGTGCCGGTGATGGTGAAGGAGGGCAAACACAAAAAAGTAATGATTGTCTTTATTTAACACGCATGCGGAGTCTCTCGTGAACATTGTCAGAGACGGACATACACGGCGTAGTGCTTCTGCAGGCCCTTCCGCTCCGTCCGCTGTGCGTCCTCGCTGGAGTCCGTTGCGTATCGCAACATCTTCTGCGTGCTGACGTTGCTACTGACCTCCTCTTCGCTCAGGCGGCGGAACAATGGGCAGCCGTCGAGACACGACACCATCCACTGCTCTAGTTCCTCGACGTCAGAGACGGTGAAAAGTAAACCTCCACTCCGCAGCCAGTAGGCGTACTCGTGGACAAGCCCAGGAGAAATGATGCGCCTGCGAATGTTTTTCCGCTTCCAGTGTGGATCCGGGTAACAGAAAAAGAGCGCCCGCAGCTGCCCTCTTTGAAAGCAGTTTGACCCGTACTTCATCACGTTCAGCTGCTCAAACCACACGTTACGGAAATGGTGGGCGTCGTCAGAGGCACCGTCACGAAGACCCAGTGTTTTCTGCTGGGCGAAATTAACCACCTTAGGGCGTATCTCGAGGCCCAGCATGCACACATCGGGAAACTCCTGCGCCAACATGAACAGCATTCCCCCAAACGCGCAACCCACATCCACAATTTCCACGACCGGATTACCCATCGAAGGGTACAACTCGACACATCGCGCCCGCAACTCCAACGGGTTGTCAGGGTGGTCGTCGCTGTTTTCAGCCAGCGGGTTCCGGTGAGGGCGAGTGCGGATCGGCAGACGCGTCCACTTCGGCTGTACCGGAGTCGCCATCCTAACAACTACAGGCCACCTCCCTGTAAGAAAGAAAAT